TAGAACTGCTTTTGTCGTTGTTTCTGTACTTAACGTTAAGTATCATTGTTTCCAAGTATGGAAATAATTAGTGCTGTTCTGACTTCAATAACTTTTGCTTTTGTTTTCATAATTGTGAAAAGTACGCACAGACACACGTACGTACGTACACCTGGTTATTAAAAGCAATAAAATTCTTTAATTATATGCCAGTAACGATAAAAACAGGACAGCTAATATTAATGGATGAAAGGTTAATTGAACTCTTGGAGGACCTCTCAGATTCTCAAAATGACGACCGAATATTGAATATCATGTTAAAAAGGTGTATGAAGGCACCGATGTCAGAGTTAAAGATGTTCTTTGAGGAGTTATCACAAGTTCTACATCGCTCTCCAAAAGTCTATCTACCAACTCTTCAAAACCTCATTTTTCATTTTTTTAATAATTCTCCACGAACTATTTTACTCCTTGATTTACAAGTGAGTTGGAATACTAATTTTGCTTCACTATTAATCACTATTGTTATCATACGGAACTTATGTCACTGCGATGAATCCAGCTTTGGAGAACTTCTTTATTATTGTATTGAGCTTCTTTGGTGTGCATGTTTGACTGATAATAAACGGAATAATGAATATGTATTTGTTCTCGAGACAACGAAACGCGTCTTTAGTGCAATTTTAAATGAGGAAGGTGCAATGGAAGTATTGATTTCTGAGGTACATGGTCGTCGATGTCTCAAACGCATGTTATTCGATTTAAACATATTAAATCAGCTGGATCGAAAAGAGTTACTTAGGGCAGTGGACTTGGTTGTATCTTTGGTGGAAAAATGTTCTGAACATGAGGATGTTTCGTCTCAATTATCGGATGGATTTTCTACATACAAAGCTTGTGCGGCATTATTGGAAACTTTAAAAAGTTATCAAAATTCAAAACATACACCGTTAATTTCAGATAACTCTTTGCCTCCAATGTTACAAGATATGGTCAAAATTATTAGGGATGTTGATGAGGAAAAACCAAGGACACAACATTTGACTAAGAATAAGATGATTTCTTTGTCTGTTCAGGATGAACAGTATTTTGCATTATTGAAAATGGCTGTCCCTCATAAATTATCAGATTTGCCAAACATTTTGAGAGCTCTTGAGCAACGAAAGATAGATTTGTTTCAAGTAAGCATAGCTATGTTTTTTTTTTATAAAAATACAAATGATTTTTATGATTTTTTCTGATGTTATAAGGATACATTGGTAAATTAACAATTCTGTATATCTAAGGATTTGTTTGGATTTTTACCATGTACAAACTGTCATGAAAGGGCCCTAATTTGTTTTTTGCCTGACAAATACTCATCACTTAATGAAGAAAGAGAATCATCAGATAATCAAAAAATTTCTTTATCACAAGAACGACATTTCCGTCTTCCATTTGAATTTGACAAAAATGACAAACTTGGACCGTGGGATATAGTGCTCAGCGAAAATTCGATCAAAGATATGAGGAAGCTAAAATCACCACACACAATAAGAGCTGTTATGAATAAACTCGGACAAATATCATCCGGGGAATGGGAAAAGCATGATCTTCGTCATAAAATATCATCTCATATTGTTCCTGTCTATAAAGTGGAGATTCCCAATAGCGATGGCTTAATAATTTTATGGCAAGTTGATTCTGGGTTCTCTATCCGTAGTTGTTCTCTCACACAGCACGTGAAAATCTGGGCTGTCACAAATAATCAAGAGCAAATTTGTGATACATTAAAAAATCTCAAGATAATTCATCAGATCTATACTGATGAGCATAATTATCGGTGTGTAACTCAAGAAGTGGGCAGTATTATCTTGCCAAAGAATTTTGATGATGAAGAGGGGACAAAATCTTCTGATGGAGTGTTGTATGATCTCGATATGGATAATGAGAGAATGTTGGATATTCATAAAATGCTTGTAACAAATAAATTTATTCCTTTATCAACGGTAGAGTATACTTATATGGAATCTTTATATAAACCATATTTAAATAGATTTATCTCTAAAAATAAACTTTACTACAGAATTTATACAAGTCACTCGTCATGGGAGGATCCGATTTCACTTTCCAAGTATCTAAAATTGAGTACGAGATAATTAACAATCCTACATCGGCGATTGTTATAGGTCGATCGGGTTAGTAATCTATTTTTTGCTGCAATACAGCAGTAACTAAGGAAAGGTAGATTTCGCTATATATCTTCTATAAATATAGGGACCGGGAAGACCACTTGTATCGTGTTTAGACAGGTCGCTTCATATCTAGCAAATCAACTTTACAAGACTCCATCTTCTCATGATATCCAGACGAATTCCTCTAAAAGGCAAATATTCATCACGGCAAGCTACATACTGTGTCGCAGAATAAAAGAATACTTTAATAGTCTACTAGAGTCAGCAGCACTTGCTAAGAAAAAGATATCTAGGTCTGAGTTTAATGAATATGCAAAGAAAAAAGAGGAGGAAGGTAGCGGCATTGATGTAATAGATAACATGTTGCTTGAAGAGGGAGACGAGGAACTGGATCTAGGAGGCATCCCAAATTCATTCCGTCAATTAAAAGATCATCATTTTCCATTGTTCATTACATACAATAAGTTTTCCCAAATGCTTCAAGGAACTTATGGCATTGATTCTCAGAAATTGATTACACAATCAAAGGCTTATGCGGATGATTATAAAGAAAAAGAAGACGATGATGATGAACTAAATTCCAAATCTTCATCTGTCAATAAATTAAACTTGCTACGGAAAAATTTTGTTGACTACAAAAGTTTTCATACAAATTATTGGCCTCATTTCAGTGATCATTATAAGAAAAATCTGGATTGCGAGTTAGTCTTTTCTGAATTCTCTGTTATAAAGGTACGTAATATAAGACTTTACCCTTATAAAATATACTAATTCGGTATTTTTTTTTTTCTATAAGGGTACAAATCCCGAAGTGGATTGCTTATCAAGAGAAGATTATCGAGCTATTAGCATCAAAAAATATCCAACATTTTGTCATAACCGTGATGGAATTTATGATTTATTTCAACAATATGAAAAGATGAAAGCACGGCGTGGTGATTATGATTCTATAGATCGGTAAGAATTGGTATAACATACATCATTTTTTGGTTTGAATAAAATTCATAATAAAAATTTTATAAAATTTTTAAATCGATTCATAGAACGTTAGCAATTTTAAATTGCGTTAAAACGAAAGGAACGAAACCACTTGGTAACCTGCAAGTTCATGAAGTGTATATTGATGAATGTCAAGATAATCATATTGTGGATTTCGCGCTTATTTTGAAACTCTTCGAGCGTGCTGATAACGTTTTTATGGCTGGTGATATAGCGCAATGTATTGCACGAGGATCATCTTTCAGATTTCAGGGTAGGTATGAAACAATAATTATAGTGACTAATATAGATTGGTTTATTAACCGTCGATCAATTGATTTTGTTAGTTTCATTCAGTTTTAGTCGAGTTTCGTTATTAATTTCTATAATAATTAAATACTTTTGTAGATTTACGTTGCTTGATGCATAAATGGGAAAATAATAGAATTCGTGCGAATTATGATCAGCGTGTTACTATAAACCCGAGACAGTTTGAACTAAATGTCAATTACCGGTCTCATAGTGGAATTCTTCGACTTGCTTCGTCGGTGACTGATCTCATTCGGAAATATTTTCCTGATTCTTTAGATCACCTATCACGCGAGCGTGGCGAAATAGGTGGACCGCGGCCTATTATCTTTAATGGATTTCAGGCAGATACTTTTCTTTTTGACGTCTTTTCTGTGGGTAAGAACGTAGACAATTATATCGAATTTGGTGCTGAACAGGTCATCATTGTGCGTGATGATGATACTAAAAAGAAAGTGAAGGAACAAATTAAAGGTGGTGGATTAGTAATGACAGTGTTCGAAGCTAAGGGAATGGAATTTAGCGATGTACTGTTATACAATTTCTTTACTGATTCTCCGGCTGGTCTAAAGGTATTATTTAACTGCATAATTTTATTCTAAACATATACAATACTTATTGAATATCTTTCGGATTATTATTTCAGTGGCGAGTAATTGAGGGTTCTCGAAACTTTTCTCATGAGAATCATTATATTCTTTGCTCAGAACTTAAACACCTTTATGTCGCAGTAACGAGAGCTCGACAGCATATATGGATATTCGATGAAAATAATGAAGTTAGTTATCCAATTCGAACGTACTGGGAGAGTCAAGGACTGGTGAAAGTAGTAAGGAGTAAAGAAGAAATCAGTACTCTCCCAACCTTGGCCAAAAAAAGCAATTCGCATGCATGGAATAAACGAGGAAAAGAGTTTTTTGAACAGAAGCAATTTGACCAGGTGAAATAATCTTTGAATGTTCGATCTCTTATAATACAGTAATTAACTAGACTAAAATACCTTCAGGCTGTTTTATGCTTTGAAAAAAGCGGAAACGAACCACATCGCAAATTAGCAAACGCATGGCTTCTTCATCAATGTGCTGAGGACTCAATAAATGATTCCGATAAAGACACTATTAAATCTCTTTTTATTCGCGCCGCTTTGGCTTTCAAAGATTGTTCTAAACCAGTTCAAGCTGCTACATGTTATCGAGTAAACATTGTTTTTTTTTTTTTGTGTGTGTATTTTATAATTATGAATTCATAAATTCATGATGCAATTTCGAAAAAATTATTCAGAACATTGAAATGTATAAAGAAGCCGGTGATATATATCGTGAATGGAATATGTACACTGAAGCTGTTATTGCATACAAAGATGGTGGGTGTTATAAAACCGTAATCGATTTATTGCAAAAGTAAGTCTACTACATCACCGCTTTGCATAAATCTTAAAATATAAAATGCCAGTACAATTTAATATTAACACTTATTAATAAGACACAAATCAGAAATCGATGAGAAAATATTCTATCGTATTACCCGTCTTGTCAATATTCATTACCGCCGAGAGAATAATAAGGTGATGAGCAAGAAAGCACTTGATATTCTTCCAAAACAAGAGCAAATAGAACTCTTGAGAGACCATGCACCAGAAGAACTTCTAGAGGTTTGTGAGAAAAATGGCGAGTTTCGTGTTGCCGCTAAAGATCTACGCTTGCGTGGTAAATTCAAAGAAGCTGCCGACCTATTTATCACTTCAGGCAGTGAAGAGGATGTCATGGAGGCATTACAGTGCCTCTTACATTTATGCCGAACCAATATTTTGAATAAAACAATGATGGATATTTCGAGTTCGAGTACAATACAAGACCTACTTTTAAAGATAAACAGATATGTCACCAAAACAAAATCACAATCGCTAATTAGTTCTGAGCCGTGGAAAAAATTAATGAAAGAATTTAGTTTATATGAAAGTTATTTAAATGCGGATCTCGATAAAATTGGCGAATGTGCTCAATTTTTCAGAATGTGTGGAGAACTTGTTGCAGAATTTCGAGCAATAAACATATGGCTACATATCCACCAAAAAATGTATATTCAAGCTGATTTCTGGCGCGAACGACTACTATATCTACTGAGATTATGTGAATTAGCTTTCTCTTTTATAGCTCCATATCGAAGTCGTCGAAATGCCGAAAATAAAGAGAAAATACACAAGAATTTTGAAGACATCTTTTTTGTAAATGAGGTGGAGAATCGCCCACGAGAACGGAAAATTTCTTCTGACAGTCCACTTATTTGCTTCATAAGCAACATGAGTAAAATGAAAGTTGACAATGATGTAGAGGGCGTGTCAGAAATCACGGATGATCGACATGTCTATGATGTTGAATTTGTTCACCTAAAAATTTCTCAATTCCTTGCTTCATATATCTATGAACTTATTTGGAATATTTATAGGGATGGTAAAAATATTCCAGAAATAGGTTCGCGAATTTGCCCCAGGTTTACGTCCTGTCAAAAGCAAAATTGCAGGAATCATCATGTGATACCAACACCAGCAATTCTACATGAACGCGTATCACTTGCATGCCTTCAGTACATTGTAATGCGAAAATTAGATGTGTTGTATTGTCGTCGTCTGCTTAAAGATGGGCAAAGCAAGGAAATTCGTGGCCCACAAAGACGATGGACAGAAAATCTTGTTACATATCATATTCGTTATCAATCACCACAGACAAGTTGCCCAGAAATCACTTATATGGTGCTTAACAAACTACCTAGATATACGCGATATGGATTTAGCAATCTTGCTAAAATATGGTTAGATGATTGTATCTGCAATTTTAAGGTTATGTTAAAATGTATGTTTGTTTATCAGCAGCAGCGAGATTATTTTGGAATTCAAGAGTTCTACCGGAAAATGTCAAGAATCGAACAGCTATCACACCCTGAAAATTTACCCCATGGATTTGAATACCACGGTGGATATTATCAAGCAATCCCAGTCGGAAGGAGGCTTTCAAAATTCTTTCATTATCTACGACGCGACTATATAGTTGATGCGATATTAGAAATAAAAGAGTTCATACGATACACTATAAACAACGCTGATTACGTACATATGGATACACATGAAGCTTTTGCGGACCTTGCATCTCTCATAGAGTTCTCGACATCTTTAGTTTTTGCAATTGGTCCTGGACAATGCGATTTTTGCCTTCCACGATCCTATCTGATTAATTATTTCAACGCGTTCAGAGTGGATCCACTCTTTCCAAGCAAATACAACAATTACAATAAAACAGAGTATCTTGATGCACTCAGGAACTCTTTTAATCAAGCTGAACATCTTCTTTCCTTACTAATTTATAGTGGCAAGTCATATCAAATTATTGTTCTTCGGCTAATACGGCTCTTGGTTCTTATTGGTCTGAACGAACCTGCCTTAAAGCCAATGATTTTTGATCTTTTCAGACGCTTGAATAACCAATCTCAAAAATTTCAAAATCAATTTATGGACTTTAAGAAATATGTAGTGGAGAGAGAAATCGGTCGTCTTGTTGGCATTATAAAAAATGATCTAAGGGAGACAGGCTGTGACTCATTAATTATTGTTTATTATAATTCGGGAGGAATGTCAAAGTTTTCTGGCTTGGAAAATTTTGGAATCACGAAACTTACATATAACTCAATTGAAGGATTTCGATCTTCTCTCTATAAGATAATGTCCCCAGTAGTTGCTGAAAAAAGATTCACCACTAGTTTTTCAACAAAGGAATTGTTACCGCGACGATCCGATGGTGGAATGCAGAACCTCATCCCAATTTTCTCCACCTCTGTTGATAACGAAGAAGGTGATGATACCTCTGCTGAAAATGAGGATAACGAAGACAAAGAACAATTAATTTCAACCCGATTCTATCAGATTCTTGATTCTCCAGAAGCCCAAAAAGCGATTAAAAAAATCAAAGACTGGCTTTCTCGAATTCTCGATCGGCAAAAGTCCCGCCATCTTGGTTGCGACCATATATTGGACAAAGCTTATAGCGATATGCAGTTATTCTGCCAAAATGCATCACATTGGGATCCCATCTTGAAAGAGAAGGGGAAAAAAAAAGTGCTACGCATTTACAAGATTCTCTTGCGAGGGCATTCTGTAGATATGATCGTGAAGTTAATTAAGTTGCAAGGAAAAATGGATTCAATTAAAGATAAGTTACAAAAATCAGTCAATAACTTTTCGGATGATGACAAGATCGAAAATTGTTTGGAACTTCTAGATGAACTTAAGTTTGTTAATCTTCTATAGTATTTATATATATATATTTTTTCTTTAATATTTCACTTGTATCACTAATTGAAAATTGTTTTAGGTACATCCACTATGAAAATGTTAAGCTTTCATTAGAAGCATTGTCAACTGAAAACATAGTTAAGCATGAAGAAGCAAACATCGGGTGGCTAAAAAATGAATTGTTGCAGGCGGAGTGTTTCATCGATCAAGTTTCAGAATGGATAGATAAATGCAAGTTTGTCATGAAATCTGGATGAGATTATGGATCTAATTTATTCTTTCTTTTATATCAATTAGTTAGAGAATAGTTTGATTTATCTCATCCGAATATTCTAGTATTTTTAATTTTGAATTCGATTTAGAGAATAGTTCTCTCTTTTTTTTTTTTTTTTTCATGATAATATAAATATAATATTAAATATTATAGGCTATTTTTCGGTCATTATATGAATATTGTATATATTGCCATAGCAGTTATTATATGATTGCAAATCGAATGATTTTGGCATTAAACAAATTAAATTTTATTTCTTTCAGTTTGAATGCGATTAATCACTAGGTCAATAGTTTTGCGTTTCGTTATTAATATTATGATTTGTCAAATGTTTAGTGATAAGAATGACAAAATTTTAGTCGACTAAGTTGATTAAAATCAACTATTCGACTAAATTTTATTAGTCGACTAATTTGATTAAAATCAACTATTCGACTAAATTTTATTAGTCGACTAAGTTGATTAAAATCAACTATTCGACTAAATTTTATTAGTCGACTAAGTTGATTAAAATCAACTATTCGACTAAATTTTA